TGTCCGGCACCGCTGTGGCTCTCTGGTGCCTGGCTCAACATGTGTGCATGCTTGTGGAGTGCTTCGCAGCTCTTTCTTCCACACGTGGTCTTCCTCTTAATTAATTCAGATTTCTAATGCATTCAGGCAAAAGAAGCCAGAAATGACCAGTCATTAGTATGCGGGCTGAGCAAATAGTTATTTAATTGCTGGGCAATGAAGAGCAGAGTTGCGCTACCCGAGACAGCACTTACCTTAAAAGAGAGCTCTGACAGACTGAGATGCCTCCCATTGGACTCTGTTGTGCCTTTTTCACAACAGGCTCACAAAACAAGATTAGACTAATTGATTTCATACCGCAAAACTGGCACAAAAACAATAGGGTTAAAACTGTCATAAGTGGAAGAGAAGCTCTTTATCTCAATAAGCAGTCTACACACAGAGCTGAGGGGTATCATCTCCTCTTGAGGTACATACAAGGGCCAGCATTAACCCTAATCACATCTACAGGAGACTCTAACTGCAACTGCTCTGTGGATGCTGGGTACTGAGACAAGACACTGTTTTTCTGCTTAAAGCATTTTTCTCCTGTAGCTTTTGTGGCAATTTTGAAGTATCAGATCAATTAGTCTAATCCTGTTTCATGTGATCATCATAAGAAGACGCTTATTTCTAGTCCAGTGTCACAATAAGACAGTGATACACTGCGGGTTGTTCCATTTGCAATTGTTAATGTCTCTGAAAGAAATCTGATCTTTGACAATATATTGCTTCCAAAGTGTTGGCATTAAAAGCCTTCTTTTGGGAATGAGTGCATGCAAATTTTCAGATTTCTCAGATGTTCTGAAATTTTGTAAAGCATTAAATAAATACAGGCTTGCCATTGCACTCTACAAATATGCATCCACTTTCAAATGTACCAGTTTGTGTGTTTCCACATAGAAGAAATCAGAAATGCTGCCTTTCCATCTTTGCAATTTCACATTTACAGTCAAATCTGAAATACTAACATGGTAGTATGAAAATCTGGTTTTCCATCAGTATTTATATAATTCCTTAGATAACAAAATCACAGAGTACTTTTAAAATTGAAAACTCTTGGCTTGGAGTCTGATTTGTGTTATTTAAACTAGTGCCTGGGATAATATGTTAATACAACTAAGCAGCAAGGAAGAGTTCTTTTCCCTTTTTTTTACCTCCAATTCCCAGCAATTGCTCTGTGCTGGAGCCTATAAGGAAGAAGACAAAGGATCCTTTTACACTACTCATAATGTAAGGCATTTTTTCTTTTGGAGATTAGAGTTTGGCCTGCAGAGAATGCAAAGGAGATAAAATAGGGCCAAACTGACACCTGTAAGCTTTTAAGATGTTGAACTGAGATATCTCGTCAACTTTTAATGCTACATGCATTGTATAGGAAACAAGGTAAGAAATCCATCACTCAAGCTGATCTGAGGTGGAGCAGGTGTGACTTACAGTTGCCAGCCTCTGTATCAGCACTTATACTGCATCAGATGCGATTAATTCACGTTTCAAACAAGGAGGTAACTCTAAAGACTATTTGATGAAAAGGAAAGCAACTAGTAAAATTAGGCATGAAACGCATCTATATCAGCAGCAGGCTTTACAGCCTTTGGCACCACTTGCTTGAAAGCATGTAAGAGTGTATTATTGTACACACATGCCTGAGGCTAATGCAGAAGCTGATGACTATGCTGTATTAAAATCTCATACCTTGCAGCCTTCACATGTGATGACTCCATAGTGTATTCCAGAGGACTTATCACCACAAATTTTGCATGGTATCACTTCAATTTGCGCTGAAAAAGAAAACAAGACAAATATTTTTAGTACATAATTCTATTTAATTTCTTTCTTTCTCAAATGAAAATCTTAAAAACTAGAGCTAGACAGTAGATAACCTGTTCACCCCCCTGACATACATTGCTTTGTATTGCACTGTGTGTTTCTGAATGCTTGATTTGGCAAATCTTAATCGCTTCACATTATGTATTTTCTACCATACCCCACAAAACTCTTCAACAATTTAAGATATCTCACAATCAGCAAGTTTTTCCTCATACTCTCCTTTTTTGTTTTTACTTGCTAATTTCATCATCATTATTGCTAATATAATTAGGGGTCCTAAATAATTATCTAGATTCTTCTTGCTTATATGTTTCAAATGTTCACAACTTTTCATTTTGCTGAAGTAGAATTACATGGTATATTTTGATGCATTTTTCAAAGAAGTAGAGGTGATGAAGTTTTCACATCCTTCAGATTATGGCTTCAAGACACACAAAGATACCGATCCCACTGACAGAGATGGGCTTGTAAATGATTGCTTAACCTCTCCTTCTCTACAAGCTCTTTGTTTCAGCACCAGGGCACAGGCAGGCAGGGCCCACAGACTGATTTTAAGCAGGCAGTGGCTGTGTGCTGGGAGAGGCAGGTACTCTCTGAAAATGTTCAAATATGGATATGCTTCAGATCCTTTTATAAACATAATGATCATTTAATTCAGAGAAGGAAAACCTATTTCACTAACTTTTTTTTTTTTTTTTTTGCTAAAATAACTGTTTCCTTCCCTCAACTACTTTGAATTCCATGTGTGTGTTTCCTTTGATGATACTGTAAGAGCGCATACACTGAAATGCAGGGAAGGATTGTGCCTTTATTCTAGTCAGACGTGTTGAGAAGAAATGGAAAACCCATTTTCTTTCCCTTTCATTTGCTTTCCTATGTGGGATGCATGCCTCCCTGCAATTCTCCTGCCACTTGGAAGTAGCATCATACTTGGTAAAGGATCAGTACTTCTGGTAGATGTCTTTTCTCCATGCCCAGGGCAACAATAGCAGCAGTTCTCTGCAACACAAGTCAAATGCTTGGGTAGCAAAGCTGAGAGCTTGCGTAGCATGGCCACCCTGAGCACGAGGATTGGTAACTTTCAACATTCAACTCCAAAATGGACTGGGAGACAGGGAAGCAAGATTATTGTCCAGATCCTCATCCTAAGAAGAGCATCCCATTTCAAACCTGTGGTCAATTGAAAAGATTCTAAATGATGGAAAAAAAAATGTACTTAAAAATGACTGCACAGCCACCACACTTCCCACCAAAAGGCACATTGCAGCCTCTACTTCCCTAGCCCCCTACTTAGGGTAGAGGCTTACCAAGATGATAAACTCCACAAGGTGAATGATAGCAGGCCCTCTTCTCTGGAAAGTCAAGTAACTATTCCTTTGGACACTTTATCTCAAAGGGACCAGGGAAGAGGGGTGTTCATGAATGGCTATAGACTTTAGTTCCCCAGTGGAGATCAGTTTCCTGAGATGCTGTGTCTGATCAAGCACATTTTTAGGCAAGACTTAGGCAAGCAGACCAGGTTTTAAACTGCTCCTAATCCAGGATGGATAAAATTAATTTTATTGCAGGAAATAACAATTTGCTGTTAATAGGTTCTGGACAGAGACAACCCAGAACCAAATTTTGCCTGTGTTTGTACTTAAGAAAGTTCATATCTAGAAATAAAATTTCCTATGTCATCCAAAATTTTAGGCTTAGCTTCAGCATCTCATTTTCATGAACTAAGTGGTGGTAGTTTCTTTCCCTTCTTAAGAAACTAATACACATTAGCCATCCTGGCACGATAGACACATAAAAAAGAAGGCAATTCCTTACAGAAAAGTGTCAGCAGTTCCTTGGCAATTTTGCCAAATTGATCCTGCTCAAAAATTCCTATGCTTTATCCCCACTGAGATAATTAAAACATTTAAATATGCACCTCCAGGTACTGCTGTTTGAGAGGCTACTTTGAGTAATTGCTCACAGGTCTCTGCTTGAGAGTCATGTGGAGGGAGCAAGGCTCAGCTCTGGGACCACACACTGCTTTATGTTGACAAGCCTCAAAGACATATGTCAATGTCAGAGGCAGGAACTACAGTGGGAATGCGAGGAGATCTTCAGGAAAAGGCAAGACAAAGGAAGAAAAAAAAAACCTCAGAACAATATGAAGGTGCTTTTAATGTGGCTTGCACATACAGTTTCTAACTGTGATAGGAACAGAGACAGGAGGGTTGATCCCGTGACACTCACTGCATTCAGCACACTACTCTTTACTGTGAGCAATCAATAATTCCATGCATGACTTGCAATTATAAGCACTACGTTCATGGTAAATATTTGTGGGCCAGGTCACTAAATGCTAAGGCTCTAGGTTTCAATTAATATGAAATATATACTTTAGACTTGCAACTCATGAGTTAATTCAAACCCTTATTCAAAACTAACCATTCTATAAATTAGTAAATACAGGATGTCTAGGAAATTGCTACCATGGCTCCTTAGAGAGCTCACAGAAAAGGCAGCGTCTTTAGGACACAGAAGGCATTTGAAGAAGTTTGGAAAAGTAGACTCTGCTACTGTCTCCTAGGCATTTCTTTTTGTTCATAAGACAGCAGAACAATTTAAGGATTCGTAACAGAAAACTTGAGTCATTAATTGTACAGGCCAGATGAAAAAGAAGCCACTGTATTCCCAGAAACCTCTTGAATTACTGTAATTAACACCCAGTGTACCAGGTTTCTTTTGCAGATTTAATGATTGTCAGAGGCTACTACACCTTTTTCACATTGTATCTTTGTTCAGCCGCCTGTAATTTTATGTCGCTTTTCTTCTTCCTTTCTCCTCTTAGGCCAGCAAACAGTTTAGGGACCTGTATATCCGACCTTTCTTTACAGCTATTATAAAATAAGCAGCTCACTTCTGAATTCCTTACAAGTGTAAAATGCATTGATTCAGTACTGCTTCCTGAATATTGAGGCAAAAATTGGATGAACTAATAATAATGGAGTTGACACAATGATAACTTTCAGCAGCACAGGCATAGAACTTATTATTTATTTTCTACCAATGTAGTAACAGGAGGAAGGAATAAGAGCAAAACTATTTATCTCCACTTATAAAGTCCTTCCACTTGCCTTCTTACCCACCAACTTTAATAATGCAAATAAGAGTAATGGCTCCTGCCTCTTTTCCAGCGATAACACAGGTCTCAACTGTCCATTTGTCCAATTTTTCAACAAGCACATGCAGTTTTCATCCTCTCTTGAGATGTATCACTTGATAAAAGCCTGCAAAACCACCATCACCCTGATGTCTAACAAAACATTCACAATGTTTGGATACACGCTGCATTGTGACTGCTCCTTATCATCAACTATAGCTTCTCTCAACAGTACCACAGGGTGATCCCATCTCTCTGAGGTATTCATCTCTTTTGTTTTACTTAAGTTTAAAGTACTTTGGGGCTGGGAACTGCCTCTATTTTTATATGGCACCCTACATATTAGAATGCCGCAATGGAAATTAATTAATTCTACATGACTAGTAATAATAATAGTCTACAGATACTGCATTTACCACCTGGAACCTAATTCCTTCTCTCAGGACAAAAGGAAGAAGGGTGGAATTCTATTAAGGAAGTAACTACAAAACCATCTCACATATTTGAAATGATCACTTGGATAAAAACAAATATGTACTTAAAACCATCTTCAAACCAAGCATTAGCTATTTTCTCAAATGCTGCCCCAAGAGAAATAAAAAAGTACACTGAGCTGCTTTTTTTCTTTTTTTTACCAGCAAAAAATTTACTCACAGGCACAAAATTCATTATCCCAAAAGTAGGGCAATAATCAGGTTTCAAAAATTGTTATACTGGTGAAATTAGGAAAAAATCTGGAAGGAGATACACAGTTAATTTGCTGAATTCCTCTTGAAACAAAGATAAGAGTCAAGAAGGCAGCTAATGTGTCCATTGTGTATTTGTGAGGACTGCCACTCACATGCATATGCTGTCTAACAAGAAAAAAGCAAAGCTCCCATTTTATATAATCTCAGTTTAATATCTGAGGAACTTCATTCGGGAGAGACAGGACTATAATCTCCCAGACCTGTAGCTTTGGTTCCAAGGGGAAAAAAGACTCGAGCTTTCAATATTTAGATCTTGATCAAAAGAGGATAGTAAAGCATGCTGGGCATGAACTTTGAAGAGGAAGTCGTCTCTCTAATTTCTTGATCCAGGAGGGATTGCACTTGGAAACATCAAGGCTAATCAGAGAACCGACAGCAAAAAAAGCAGCTCCTTTACCTTCCAAGAATTCCCATCATCCTTAAACTGGAGTTCTTTGAAAAATGCTAGTAGATTGGCCCAGTTCACTTTCATGTTTGTATCCCTAAGTGATTTCAAATTAAGTATATTCAGCATTTTTATCTAGTTGCCAATTCTGCTTTTTTTATCCTGACCTCTGTGAGTAAGACAGGCTTTCTTCCTTGCACGTTACCATCAACAGAAATTTCCACTATAAGTTAGGCTGCCAGATAGATTTTGGTATCCTCTTTGCCACTGGATCAGATATTCTCTGGTTTCACAGCAAGACTTCAGGTGTTTTGCATTTGTATTTAATAATCTGAAAATATGCAGCTGAGGAAACTAGGTATGTTTTCAACCTCTATCATACCTCATGCAGTGAGAGCTACATAGTTAGCAATATCCCAGCAAGCTAATTAATGCCAGCTAATGTTAATTAATGTGTCTGTAGATGCATTTGCTGTCAGCCATGCCCCGAATGAGCCATTAGAGTAAGCAGATATGATGAAATTAGCCTAGGAAAATAACATTTTCATAAAATCTTATCATTTTCACACGGTGATAGAACTCTGACTATGAGTCTAGACCCTGGACTTTGTTAGAGCTACAAAGACTGTCAGGTCCACTCTGCCCAGGGCCCTTTCTGCATGTGCAGCAAGGCTGATGGTTCCCAAATGTGCCAGTCCTA